CTTCGCCAAATTTGGTATGTAGGTTCATTTGGTCCACGGGGAGATACATACAAACATTAAGTTTTGAATTTTGCGGTTTTTATGGGCGTTTTTTACCACTACCTCACCTCCTGTGGGTGGATCTTCACCAAATTTGGCATGAAGGTTTGTTGGATGCATGCAGAGATACATGCAAGCTTGCAGTTTCACATTTTGTGTTTTGCAGTTTGTATATGCCTTTTTTGCGTACTTACAATTACACATGAGGGAAGCAACTTTTCATGTTCTAAGATAACCTTTCATTAATCATGAATTTACCTAACTTCCGTCCAGGGGGACGGGTACTCCAGATAGTATATATATATATAATATTATAGTAATTTAATTGTTACTACTAGGTTAGCGTTGGGTAATATTTGTTTGTTTGTAGTTGAATACAAAGCTACAGAAGGGGATATCTATGCTGTGCCCAACACGGGTATCGAAACCTGTCGTTTAGCGTTATAAGCCTTCGGACTTACCGCTGAGACACTGGGGTAGGGGGGACGTTGTTTAATGTTCTATGTTACTAACATTCCATATTTTCTTGTTTTCTTTTAACCATATGCGATATTATCAACATATATTTCTCGTGATTTTATCTTTAAAACACAACATTAAGCGTCAGTTGCTGAGTTTGCTTCATCATAGTTAAGTGATCACTTAAAAGAAACGTTTTTTTTTTACAGTAGAAAAAGAATAAAACTTTTCCTAAGTTTTAGCTTTTTTATGTATATTCAAGTATGTTGCATTTGAATTGACACGAAACTATAATATCTGCACACTCCAACTGTTATTGATAGAGTGTACGATCAGCAGATTGTTAAGTGTTTTACAATGTTAATTTTCACGGAAGTACGGTAATAACACGGTAAATAAATATTCAAATTCATAAGTTGAAAAAGAAGCACGCGATTTAATACTTGTAAGGTAAACACAGAAATGAACTATATTCTTCGTTGAGAATAATAAATGAAATATAAATAATACAGGGTTGAGTACGTTTTATTAAACCATTTTAATTATGCAAATTAGAAAGTCAACAATCGTGGTCGATATAAGGCCATGGTGGAGAATGGAATATGTCAGAATTATATTTTGACGTTATTTGGCGTTTCGTATGTAGTGTAATACCACTGTTCATTTTTGGGAAGGGCATGTAACAGCTCTTTTTGAAGTGAAATATTCATACATCTAGATCATAAAGATGTGTTCAGATCATAGGTTAACGATTTTCAAGACGGGGTGGGGTATCCCTTGCACTTAAGGGTATTGGGTAACAAAAGAATATAGATCAAATTGGAGAATCACATCCATCCAGAAAGTGGCCTTCAAGAAATCTTACTCCAGCTGTGGTAAGCAAAGTGCGGCGTCTTGTATCGGGTGAGAATCCACGAACACAAGGATCAGCATAAAAGCCGTCCACGTGCTACAGGTAACTGTATGAAACATAATCAAGAAGGCTCAACGTGTGAAAAAGTGACACAAATCATGAGTACACGATTCCACAACATATTAGTTCAACTGTTGTACCTCCAATATTTGCATAATGAAACGCCGTTCTTATACACTAGATGGCTTGTGGAAAGCAAGGAATGAAGTTGGATGTGCTCTAAACATGACAACTTTACAACAGAGCCTTTTGAAATGGAAACTATACGCTGCAGGGCTATTGTCAAGATGCACGGTTGTCAAACAGAGCATGACGTGGTGAGGCTACAAAATCGGTTCAATATAACGTACCCATCCTCTCTCTCTCTAAATAAATACCTAAATATCTGGCTTTTTTCTTCTCCTTAGTGGTCGTTCCAAAATATTTTTTTAAAATCATATATAAAGCAGGAAAATTTTTAGTGACGATACCAACGGGTTAAAACTTTTTTCTTTTTTTTTTTTTTTACCAGTAACTCATTTTCCTTTTCTTCTACGTTGAAACAAGTCTGAAGTATCTGCTCCCTCTCTAATATGTTATGTTGTAGGGCAACAATCAATACCACGTGCAATTGCTACTGATGTTGCTTGGTGTTATGTCTCCTGAGCAGGGTGGATTTGAAAGATTTTGTAACGAGTCGCGATGTTTTAGTTACATCTATATTTATGATCTTACTTGGATGCACGTAGTCTTTTTTTGTTTTCAACTTTCGAAAATAAACGGGCCACGCATACAGAGCGTAGTTGTACGTTATGTATTTTTAAGTTAAGCGTTTGTATTATTATTATTTATGTAGGGTTGGTTTTGATGTCACGTAATTTTCTTGAAAGTTTAAGAAATTATATTAATGGTATAAAACGCGAGTTATATTGGAGTTGATTATATGATGTGGAAATCTGTTACGACAGTGAAATGATTACTAGCCAGTTGTGTAGCCTTGCGCTTAACAACAAAACAAATTGGCTGTGCCGTGCCCACCACGAGTATCGAAACCCGATTTTTAGCGGTGTGAGCCCCCAGACTTATCGCTAAGTCACTGGGGGATCACAATTATTATGTAATTAGCAAGTTTGTTAATCGATTCGTCCATGTTTTTTCAGTTTTCGCGAATATTGAGTTTGTGTTTCGACAAAGTATTAGCGATACGAGAAGTACCTTACGTACGAGAAAAATTAACAAGTAAGTGAAATTATTGTATTAGCATCTATTGTGAACTTACGCTTAACAGTGAGCATTAGTTAAGCCGATTTTTAGAACTTGAAGTTCAAATGGATTTAACTTTGCATTATTTTTTACGAATAATCCAAAAGAAACCGCCCAACAATAGAAGAAATTAAGATATATTTTCTGTGAGTAGGTCTTTTTTTTTTAAATGAGTGTTAAGGAGAAACCTCAAAACGCTACACCCATCTTTTGTGTGAAATCGGACCTCTACTCTCTATAAAAAGAAACTGTGTTTTTAGTACTTATATCTATCACCAAGTGTGATGTATGAAATGTCTTCAAGTGTGATATATGTCATTAAGTTATTTTGATCAACTATGATAGATATAAACGTTGAAATGAGGAGCGCATTTTTGCGGCAACACGCCGCGAACTCTGTTATTCACAGTCCGAGCACGCTAATAGACCACGCCTGGCTCTCTTAAAAGAGTTAGTTATACAGGGCTCGATCAAATGAACAGATGGGCACGAATTATTTAAAATTCTCTATTTAATATATTTAATAATATATAAATTATTTTTGTTTTACCGCTAGCCTTTAAAATACATTGTCTAAGTCCCTTCAGTATGTTGTTTGTTTTCAGCGCAATGCTATACAACAGGCTACATACGCTCGCCACTGGAGGGATCGTACCCCGAGTTTTAGCGTTATGACTCCAATCTTACCGTTGAGCCACAGGGAGAGCCGCAGTATATTGAATCTAAGCCGTATTGAAAGCAAGATACCGTATGGACTTAATATTAGGATAGTCCAGCTTTATTTTAATAGTTTGTATTGATTTGCGTTCCTCTATAATACATGTTATACTATAAAATTGGCCGATTGTGAGGTCCTTATAACTCATTAATATACGATTCGTATCACAACGCTGTTAACATAAATTTAAATATTGTAAATGGTATCTAACAGCCTATATTATACCACGTGAAAAAAAAAGACACTATGCAGCTGACAATCAAATCGTCTAACTAGTACATTTACACATTATTTGATTATGTTCATCATGGTCTTACTGTATCGATCCATTCGCCTTTCTAGCACGTAGGAGAAATTGGAAACTTGGGGTATTCAACTGGTACAACATCACAGACTTTTTAGTTCATTATTATATTATTATTGGAAATGTGATATTATGTATCATCTCCTGTGTTTTATATTATACGAATAAACCTAAAAATACGATGCTTAAATTATGTACTAGTCTTAAAGTTGTATAACACATGCGAGTTTTTCTTTTCATTATTTATAGGAGATAAAATACATACCCTCACTTTGATGACGAGGAACTCACGTTTTAGAAAACAAATCTTGGAAACGACTTGAATGGGTAGTGAAAGAAACTTTATAACAAACGTACAACGTTTCGATGAAATAAGCTTGTCGAATTGTTGTACATTTGTAATAACGTTTCTTTTTTACTATCCAATCAAGCCGTTTCCAGACTTTACTGCCCCCCCCAGTGGCACACCGGTATGTCTGCGGACTTACAACACTAGAATCCGGATTTCGATACCCGTGGTGGGCAGAGCACAGAGGCCCATTGTGTAACTTTGTGCTTAATTACAAACAAACAAACCGGACTTTATTTGTTCTAACTTTAAAATACTCAGACATGGGAAACAGTTTAGGTTTGACAACACTTAGGGATAAATTGAATTAATATTTTAGCTCAGAACTTTGGCTACTGATAAATATATATTTCTTAACAAAGTTTAATCATTGTAGTGCTAGATTTGTGTTTCGGGTTTTAATTATTTTTTTACGTTATTGTATTTTATTTTTTGTTGTCTATAAGTGTAAAATAACTTGTAGGTTATTGATTTTAAATATTTGTTTAATAAATGACGTCATCTTATTTAATTTCACAGAAATGGCGTCTTACAAATGAAGCCCTGCCACAGGAACAAAGACATGCAGAACCACAGAAACCCGAGTCTGATAATACCTCGCCACATGACGATTACAATGACGCTTCGTGGCAAGCATTTCAAGCTCAACTCGTTCCATGCCCAAACTGTGGTCGAACATTTTTTCCTGACCGCTTGCCTGTTCACCAGAGGGCGTGCAAATCTAAAAGTAATGGTGGAGCTCGAAAAACTAAAGTTGTAAACAACTATTTTAATAAGGAAACTGAAGAACTGGTAAGCATTTTATTATTATCTGTAAATTAATAATGTAACAATATCTTTAAACGCAGTTAATGCATGTAAAGTATTAGGTCGTCAAGAAATTAATGTCGCTTTTTTAAGATGAAAAACCCGAACAAAACCTAATCAAAAAATAAATATTTATATGAATAATTTTAAGGTAATGGTGATGAAGGTCACGGCCGTGAGTTTTCATTTTTGTGATGTCAACCAAAAAAGGGGGATAACGGCTTGAAATAGTTGTAACTTAAAACACGAGTGCTGTATCAAGTCTGACATTTCAAAAGAATTAATTATTTGTCAAAAAGCTGAGAAATTAAGTTTATTCTGACACAGTCGCGTGAGACGAGTGTATTGAAAGAAGTATTTAATAAATTTAAGCAAGCAACAAACAAAAATGATAACTTGACTCTTAGCGTAGGCATGTAAAAACGTTCGATTTTGTAGCTGTTTTATTGTTATTGTTGTGAAATTTGTTGTAATACATTTTCTATTTCCACAACTAAACTTCGACCTAATGCTCAATAGTTCATGTTCCCCAGAGGGTTAACGATAAGCTTACGGGCTTACAATGCTAAAATTTGGATTCCAATTTCCTGATAGCCTATTGTGTTGCTTTGCGCTTAACTACAAACAAACAAACTGATTTTCTGTGGTGGATAGAGGGCAGATAGCCTATTTTATAGCTTTGCGCTAAATACAAACAATTCACTATAAATCAATCGACAGATAACAGTAAATGTTGTCAGAACGAGTAGTTCATTATGACCGATATACAGGATGATATGAAATGAGTCCAACAAATCACTGTTAAGACTTGAAAGATTGTGATATACAGTATGATATGAAATGAGTCCAACAAATCACTGTTAAGACTTGAAAGATTGTGATATACAGTATGATATAAAATGAGTCCAACAAATTACTGTTAAGACTTGAAAGATTGTGATATACAGTATGATATGAAATGAGTCCAACAAATTATTGTTAAGACTTGAAAGATTGTGATATACAGTATGATATG